TTGTGTCCATATGGGAAAATAAAGCGTTGATCAAACTTCTTCGAAAAATAATTAACTTAATCATGAACCTTAAATATGTTTATTTTAACACTTTGTGAATGTTTATACTAAAAGAACCTTATAGACTAATCAAATATAGAGAACGTTTGTGTGAATAATTAAATTTAATCACTTCAATATTAGCTTATACTATTACAAATCTATCATCATTATATCGTGTTCATTTTGCTGTACTAATGAGGTATGGTAACTTGGATCGATGCATATATGTGCCTGATCCTACGTTGTAGATAACTGACTGACTGACATCATTATATTTTAACGTTTATAAGTTAACTGACAAATTCTTCCTCATCTAATTCTTTAAAGTAATTAAACTTATCGATCACCTCTCTTATCATAGTAGCTAGTTTACCCTTAGTGTATTAATTATGATCACTCCGAGGTTGAAAGATGAATTGCCTAGAATAGCCACTTTTTTTCTGTATCTATCAATCCAACTGCAAGTTATATTGGCAAATAGTCTAGGAATTTGTATATTCAAGCTCGTGAGTATCTCTCAATGTGATTAGGCAAAGTTGTAGTTAAAACGGTTAACAGTTCCATTTTAACTCATTTAATTAATTCAGACGGGATATACAGCTAACATCGAGCAATCTTTTGCAAGAATTTTTTAATGAATTTATTCAGTTATCTTTCCAATTTATGCTTAATCACATACTTTTCGATCGGTTGAGAAATGAACATGTTAAATACTGCATATCATCTGGTATTTAATTACGCGGTTATAATGTTACCATTAAAAATAGATCAAATGGATTGATCGTAATTTATTTATAGATTTTGATAAAATAATCCCTCATATATATATAATAGTACTTTTTTCTTATATCCGATATTTTAGCAGTGCCTGTCCACTTGTAAACGTTTTATTCTAATTAAAGTAGGTAATACGAGTTGTTAAATGTTATTTATTATAGACCACCTTGAGTTACTTTGATAGTTTAAATATGCTCAAACAATAATAAAGTATCAACTTATAAATTGATTAGTAGTTGAGCTGAACTCTGTAGGGGGAAGTAACATGGCAACCAAAATAGGTATAATCTTTTTTAAAATCTTATTTTCATGGTCTTAGATATATTTTCTTCTTTCTTGGTGCTTTTCAATTGTTTAGATTTAAAGTATTCATCTTAATATCATATTTGTCTTGATGAGCTAATCCAGATTTAAACTAGATTACACTTCAGATGTTGTTATTTCATAGATAAGAATGTAAATTATATTATTGATGAAAACAAATGGGTAAATAAATTTGTAGACCAGAATTCCATGGTACAAATGGTACAAATTGAATGTAAACAATAACTGAAATCATCAAATTATAATTAAATTAGAAATGATTTAGATTATCTTGTAATGAATGGGAATATTGGTTGGGACAATCAAATGTATTTCAGTACAAAATTACAGAACGTCTTAATAAAATCTAAGAACCATATAGTAAATACGTCATTTGTAAAACGTCAATCGATTGTTACAGACTTGATTGTTCTCTCGTTTCCATACCAATCATTCTTTGTTCTCGTTCTTTTTTTTCCTTGATCTTCTTAACCTTCTGCCGCCAGGTATGTCATTTTCTATTGACGATACATACTACTTATATCTGTTGATATCAGTAGCATACACCACAATCACGTTGTTGATTGAATTTTAATAATTTATCGAGAAAATCCAAATCATTATAAAGTAAAATAAAGATTCATGCCAGTTGAATAAATATATGTTATCTGAACTCATTAGCTAAGTGAATAATGCGTTATGTGTTTGAAGTAAAAGATAGTGTATTAAAATCCTAAAGTAAACATTAATACTAGGATACAGGTACAAATGGTTGATGAATCTCAAGTGGGACAAAAAGCGTTGAATCAACTCCACACTATTTCTTAAATCAAACCAGAATTTATAACATCTGAAAGCGTATACTGAGAACAATCTAGGATCATTTGTCTACGTTTAAAAAAAGACTTATTCAATCTTATCATGATAACTCTATGAAGAAAAAAGAAAAATAGGTTTCAGAGTAAATTTGTCCACGGATTCTCTGTTTGTTACAGGAAAATATAACGTCAAAAATTGTTTCTTTTTTTGTTCCTGGCTAAAACAAAAATACATTAGAAACGGAAGTATATAGACAATATACGAATATGCTGAATTTTCTGATTGAAACGTAAATAAATGTAAATAAAAGGTGTGTTTTTTTGTCGAAAACATGCAAAGCTTCTCTTTTCTAAAACATTTTTTAAGTTTTCAAGATGTTGATGTCATACATCTTTTTAAAATAAACGGATTTCCTTGTAGTTGTATTTTAAAAAAGTTGACCAATCCATATCCCATACATTCAATAATACAACATTTTGAGATGGTGGAGAAGATTTATAGCTCAGTTGGATGATTTTGATGGAGTTTTGTTCTTTGAGCTGGACGACCAAAACATCCAGCTCAGAGAACAAAACTCTATCAAAATAATACAACATCATTGAATAAATATCAATCCATTGCATATATGATCATAAAAAAATAATCTAATTCATCTTTAGACTCTAATATGAAGAATGAATATGATTAGTTGTATGTACAAAATCAAATATATACAGATTGAAAGCACTGAAGCACATGAAAACTTGTATAGGAGTAATAGTAATTTTCTTAGTTTAAATCATTCAGTGATCTCATCTAGACCATCACTGAAAACCTGGAAGTAATGGATGGTTGTTTCGTCCTAATATGGAACTACTAAGCGAATCGCATCTTCTACCCTGAATCCGACAAACGAACCAATGATCTACGATCTCTCAAACAAGCTCTTAATCACGAAGAGCAGATAGTGATTTAAATTATGAAAATTTTGCAAACTTCACAAATCGCCCTATGCTAAAAATATAACAATGGAAGAATTAAAATTAAACAACTTAGCTTCAACTTACCACTAAAAGCCAATAACTATTCTCTATACATATTAGAAACGAGCTTTCTCATCTTACCAGTTTAGATTAAGTAATATTCATTAGCTGTAATCAGTATTCACTTTAACATGTAAAAAAGAAAAACATAGTTCAGCCTGTTTCTATAGTAGTGAACCAAAAGAGGTTGAAAGGTCTGTTCTTAAAAGTTTAATTGATTTTGATCACTCGACTAACGCATATACTTATATTAAGATTGTTCACTGAACTTTTGTAAATCTACAAATCCTTTCTCATCTTTAACACTCTGAATCAAAATTTATATTGTCCACTACTTGAATCCAGTACATTTTACATACACTAAATGCTTACCATGCTTATCTTAGCTACTAACTACTGTTACTTTAATTCTATATATTTTCGTGTCTGATAACTTTTTAGATTCATACAATATGTTTGTGTAACCTTTAAGAATTCAGTTATAATTTCCTTTTCTATCCAGCCTCGCGAGATTCGAAGCAGTGACCAGTGGAGTTCAACCAGGTCTGTTGTGAGATAGTAACTCACTGAAGATAATGGCGAATGTGTCGCTCAATTTTGTGAATTAGTTGAAGTTAAACATTAACACCGTTGGTTGCTGGCTCAGTGGTTCAGTGGCTAAGCGCTCGCTCGAGACTGACAGGTCATGTGCTCAAATCTCGCGAGGCGGGATCGTGGATGCACGCTGCTGAGGAGTCCCACAATAAGACGAAACGTCCATCCAGTGCTTTCACGCTTTCCATGGTGATCTAGCTTCAATTGACCCACGATCTCAACTATTAAAATCTACAAGTGATCGAATAAAGAATTTCTCAAGTTTCACCGATAACAAAACACTATGGCACTACTCTAATTTCAGTAAATCATATTTTAAAGTTTAAATCTCTTTGTATCTATCCTGATGGTTCATTCATCTTTGTATTGTTTGTTTGTATCTTCCCATTGATATCTCTTACTTACTCTTACCACATTATTATACAAGGTAATTTTCAAATTTTCCACAGCTAAAATATTTAGACTAATGGTTATATCGTGGATTAGTTAAAGTTGGACATTAACACCGTTGGACAACAGCCAGCTCAGTGGTCTAATGGTTAAGCGCTCACGCGCAGGACTGATAGATCCTGAGTTCGAATCTCGTGAGGCGCACTGCTGAGGAGTCCCATACTAAGACGAAACGGCTGTTCAATGCTTCCAGGTTTTCCTTAGTGATCTAGCTTCTGTTGAATCATGATCTCAACTATTTATGATTACACTGTTTACTAAAATGAATAAATGGAATCATATGATTTTGAGATGGTGGATGATTTAGGTAGAGTTTTTTTTGAGCTGGATGGTTTGGTCGTGAAGCTTTCAGTGTTCTTCTGAAAAAACATTATCAGCATAAACACTTCATTTCTATTTGAAGCTTGCGTTGATGATGTTATTCAGCCTAGAGGACAAAACACATGAACAAATGGAATTGTTGTACGACATTAGAATACATCACTTATCATAAATATGATGTGGATCAACTGATTAATTATTTAAAAAGTCGGTTTACATCCAGTAGGTTGCAGATTAGAGTCTTCAACTAGTTATTTGCGTTTGGGTAGCTTGAATAGGATCACTATCCCTCATAATAACAGTAAGGCTTAAAGCTGAAAACAAACCTGTAGTTTTCAAACGAGTTACATGATCAGTTCATTTTCGTATTGTTAGTTTGAATCTTCTGATTGGTACATATGCATACTGTGTGGATTGCCTTAAGTCCCTAGCATAGTCAGCAATGAAATCCAGGACCTATTTGGGACTAGTCAGCCGGATGTACCTTCATCTCAAAGGAAAACATAACGATGATGATTAAATAATATAATTAAATTCTACGATGTGATCAGTGGTGCTGTTTTGAACACGAGAAGTTAAGGAATCCTATTATTTCTGTTTTCTGATGCATTTTTTATTTGTTAATAGAATTTATTCACAAGATTATGTTATTCTTTTTTTTTAACATCATAGGTCCTCCAAGAAATTCTCTACTAAGGCGTCAAAGTGGTAAGTAGTGTAATGTGATATGTACTACTCAAAATAATTTCGTGAATATTACTGTTTTGTCAGTTTAAAATATACCTTCAAATACAATCGATATCAGTTGAATAACTGATGGGAACTAGGGTACCATTCTGCGTGTATTTTAGTCAGTGCATCTAGATGTAGGTCCGAAGCTAAAAATTGTGAGATGATTACTGGTTTCCATTTTACAGTAAATTTTCAAATGACTCTACTTCATGATAAAAAAAGAACATTTAAGTTATTCTAATCTTTAGATTTTACGAAAAATGTTATAAAGAACAGTTATCTAATAGTTGAATTCAGTTACAGCTAGACCACCATGAAAAACCTGAAAGCATTGAACGGCCATTTCGTCCTTGTATGGGACTCCTCATCAGTGCGCATCAACGATCCTGCCCGTGTTGAATTAATAAAAAACTTATTCGAAAACGCGTAAAGTTTATAGCTAAATCATAATAGAATTGTAGTGAACGAGAACACCAATGGGGGCAACTAAATGTATCTTAATATAGCATTACGGAATATCTTGGTAAAATCTGAGAATCATACAGCAAATACTTCATTTGCGAAATACCCATCATTTGTATCAGACTTTGTTGTTCCATCGTTTTCATACCAATCAATCTCTGTTCTTGTTCTCTTCTCTTTGATTTTCTCAACTTTCTGCCATCAGGTATTACACTCTCATTTGTTGTTACACACTCCTTATATCTGCCAACATCAGTAGCACACATCATAGAATAATCCCATAAATTTTAGTGATTTTGTTTACTTCTTCAGATTATGACAATAAACATCACGAGGATAGACGTCTTTAATACAACTCGTTCTATTTTCCCCTGTGAATGTTTTGGTAATCTACTTAGTATACACACTTTTGTAGTTTTTCTAGCTTATTAACTTCTGAGTTATTTAAATCATCAAATGGCTAACATTAGCATTATAGTACTCATCACAACACAACATTGTAATAGGTTTATTTCCTTGTAAGATTCATGATATTATTCCATTTTTGGACATTTAAAAGTAAGAACTAAATCTCAATAATATACATTAATAGAACTATTTATCATTAGTGATCCGATCTATATGTTGTGTAATTCAATTGTTCAGAAATAATATTTACCATCATATCCATCTATAACTGTTCTATTTCAATGTATCAATTCATACTAATCAACATGAAATTCAAAGAAACTATCTCTTTTTCAATGAATTTATTATCAAAGTATACACTTGTAGGTATCATTACTAAGGTTTTATTTGATCATCTCAAATACATTGAACATTGGGTAGATTCTAGTAGAATAGCATAAATTCATTTTATTTAGTAGGTTCTCATCAGCTGCTTACAACCTGTGATATTTAAAATCATAATTACATAATGGGTTTAAATTACTTACATGAGAGGATTTAGTGGGAGGTTAGACTGAAGATATATTAGTATAGTATAGCAAGGATGTAAATGAAATTAATAGACTGAACATTGTAGATATACACCTTATGTGAAAGAACATTCTAGAACATTGATTATGACAACAATTTAAACGGCTAGTAATGAGTGATTATAAAACGAGTAAACGCTGATAGAAATAAACTGAGTAGAGCTCATGTAACCGTCAACTGTATTGATAAATTTACATGGACCTGTCAAAAAAGTTACATTAATCGAACAGAAATGAGGGCATATATTAGATTTTTTTTGAAAATGTTACAAAAAGCCTCAGAACAAGAGAAAGAAAGACTCTAAATTGTGCAATCAAAAAACATATCCTTGATACAGGACATCAAGTCGATAGCTGGCAATCCTTCAAGGTGATTAGTAAGCAGCCGAAATCTAGTCTTCTGAAGGTTTTGAAGCCGTTACTAATAGGCGTCAAAAACTGAGTTATGTATTCAAAAGTAGATGGTAATTAATCATTCCATGCCTTGGCAACAAATATTCCTTCGCCGTGTAATTGAGTAGATTGTCTTATGTAAAAAAATTATCTTTATTATTCCAATGAGTAGAAAAAAATAGATTTTCTGATATTTTATCACTCAAATTCAACCCTTCCTTCAAAGGATTAATGTGGATTTTCTTTTTAGTAGTTGGGATACACCCATTAAGACATTAAATAAGAAAGATAGATTCGACAAAGAGTTCTCTTTTCGGTGAGTTCATTTTCAAAGCTGTACAATCACAAATAGATATACCTACCTTTTCTCAGGATGATAATAATTACAATAATAATGATTAATAAACTTCTGTTGGACATGGTGACATTGAGGTAGAATAAACAAAGTTATTAAAAAAAAAGTTTCTGAACAGGGAAACTAATAATCGTTTAATTTTTAATGGCTTAAATTTCCATCGAAAGATAGTAATCAGTTAAAATAGCTTAGAAACACTAATGACTTGATGATAACACGTTCAGATAAAGGTGTGAGTTTAGTGCTGCTAGACCGAAAGATTTATGTCGAAAAAATGACGAAGTTATTGTCAAATGACACCGAATTCTCCATACTAATCAATGAGAAAAACAAGAATGAAATAATAGCAAAGTAACTGATTGAAGTTCTTAAGAGAATAAAAAAATGATCAATCAATCGATGAACATGTCCTTGAGCACATAAAACCAACAATATCAATTATACCGCGAATATATGGTCTGCCATAAATACACGAACCTGGCTTACATCTCAGACCAATTATTGATATGTGTTTCCATAAAAGAGAATGGTACAACCTGTTCTTCTACCATGGACTTCATGTCTCATAATTTTTTTTCATATTGTTATTCCTTTATAGCTATCTGCTTTCCCTTCTATCTTCTCCTTAAATCTTCTACACCCAACTGGTTTATTTCTGTTTCTACGACCCTCCAGATTACATTTCATCTCAATTGCAACATTTTATCTTATCATGCTGTACCATCCTTCCCCGATGATAATTTCCGTATCCATCTTTCGAGGAGAATCTAAACACTTAACAATCAAATGATTATTAGTTTCCCTGTTCAGAAAAACATTTTCTTAATACATTTGTTTATTCTACCTCACTGTCATCATGTCTAACAGAAGTTTATTATCATTATTATTGTAATTATTATTATTATCCTGAAAAAAGATAGGTATATATATATTTGTGATTGTACAGCTTCGAAAATGAATTCGCCGAAACGGGAATTCTTCGTTGAACCTATTGTTCTTATTTAATTTTGATTTAATGATTTATTCACTAAAGAAGTGATATACATGAAGTTACGAAACATCAGAAAATCTCATTTATTCTACTCATTGAACTAATACAAATATATTAATTTATTATTATCATCAAACTATACAATTGTATACATATGTGCATACGTATGCATAGATCATGAAATTTTACGGGATAATTTCGTAAGTATGAACAATGAATAAACATGATATGATAGAATGAATAAAATACTAAAGTGTATAGTGATAATAGTAATAATAATAATAATGATAATCATTACAGGTTGCATAGTATCAACACACTTATCAGCAAATAAATAGGCATTTCAGGCTTAATCATCTAATAATAGATTATAATGAGCATGGAGACAATCATTAAAATATTTTCTTTCTTTCTTTTTTTATTTCGTCACAATAATTAAATGTAACATAGAAAAGGTTAAATGAAATGAAACAACGTCAGAAATAATTATCAATAAAATCATGGTAACATGAGAAATAATTATCAAAAAGTAGGAAGGGGGTGGGATATTTTTAAACGTAAAATCAATGGAATGAAATGAAAATAAATTAATGATGATAGTTTAAGGTCATGATAATGATAACCAAACAATATGTATATCTGAATAGGTTTTGTGGAGATTTTTAGAAATTTCACTGGTTGAAATCATGAGTCAAATGAAGCTAGACCACCATGGTCTAGTTGGTTAGGCGCGTGGCGCGAGACTGATAGGTCATGGGTTTGAATCTCGCTGGGGGCGGGATTGTGGATGCGCACTGATGATGAGTCCTATACTAGGACGAAACGGCCGTCCAGTGCTTCCAGGTTTTCCATGGTGGTCTATCTTCAATTGACTCATGATTTCAACCAGTGAAAGATGTATATCTGTTGAACACAATGTTTTTATTTGATTTCATAGATGAAAAGTGCTCTTGATTAACTAAATACAAAGAAACCTCTGTAGATTCTGTCGGATCTTATAGAAAATGTTAAGATCAACATATAGGTATAGAGTTGTGGAGATTGTTGAGTTCTGATTGAGATCAATAATTGATCCATGTTAGACCAACATTGAAAACCTAGAAGCAATGGACGGTCACTCTGTCTTAGTATGGAACTCGTCAACAGCATGAGTCCACAATCTCACACATGGGACTCGAACATAGGATCTTTGACCTCGCGTGCGAACGCTCAACATTTAAACCATTGAGCCGGTCGGCATCCAATGGTGTTAATATCTAACTTCAGCCAACCCACGATATTGTGCGACCATTTTCCATTGTTTTCGTTAGGTAAGTGCTGGACACGGTTTAACTCCACTATTCACGGCTTCTTAACAAAAGTCCGGGGATTACCACTCAAAGTTAGTCACTGGTGATTACATTGATGATAATTATCATACTAAGACGAAACAGCCGTCCAGTGTCTCTAGGTTTTTAGTGGTGGTCTAACATTGATCGATCCATGATCTCAATCAAAATTCAATATATCGGTAATTTCGATGATTAGAGATAATTAAATATTGAAGGACTATTCAAAAAGCTTTATGATAGCTACTTCGATACTAAATTTTCAAGAACAACTTTCCTTTCTCCCTTAATGAACTATTCTGGAATATGTTCTCGTACGCATAGTGAAAGTGAGTGCTGACAATGGGCTATGCATCTTGGTTCAATGAAGCAGGTGAATTGGAAGGTGGGCACAGGAGACTATATGTATAAATATATGAGATTGTAAAGAATTTTATAATATTTTAATAGTAATCATACATTTATTTCAA